TTTTTTTTTGTTTACTCATTATGATGGATTAGGAAAATAGTTACGAGAGAGGTCGAGTTGGTCTAATTTTCTTTTACATATATATTGAAGTTTTTCCCATCCACCTTCAGTTTTTATACGCGATTCTTAATTTGTTTATGTTTAAAAGATTTAAATTATGTAAAAAAATATTTCTGTCAAGATTTTGATGTTTTAAAGACTGGATGTTTTTAGAATTTAAATGATGTCAGAAAGTACTACTATATTAGAGTGCTCATCCATGGGCCTCTCATTACTGAATGGGCACCCCTGCCCATTGGGTAACTTTCCGAAAAAACCCAAGAGTCAAGGATTAAGGGTTTTAAAAAATACCGGCTGCTTGTATCCTCGGCCCCTGTAATTTCAAGTTTACGTTTAAACCCACCAAAACAAAATCATAAACTGTCGTCAGAAGCCATTAAATTATTATCAACTATTGTAAATGCGGATGCGGAATTGCCATCAGTAAATATAGATACGAGCTTGGATACTTCAGATGACTGCGAGTCTGGCGGTGTATAAAATTGTTATCTTAAAAATATATTCCTGTACCAACAAATATGTATGTCTTGTTTATTGATTCATTCAAAATCCCGCAGTTCCCGTGTAAATTTGAACATCAAGATTTTTAGAAACAAACATTAAGACCTCGTTAGTGTTTGTCCGAGCTTCTCTTCCGATTTGTGGCGTGCGCCTTGATGTTGGCGCACAAAGCGGAGGTACCAACAGTTTTACGCCGAATCCGAACGGGGATTTTATTTTTATGAGAAGCTGTTCTTCGTGGCTGAATACACTCGGGGGTTTGCCATTGCCTGCCAAAGGGCGACTTCATTACAAAAAGCTTGTTTGTTTTTTATTTTTTGATGTTGGTCGGAAACTGGGCTTGAACCCAGGCCCTGCGGAATGATAGCGTATATTGCTAACCGCTACATCACATTATATAACAAAAAAGCCGAAAACATGACCTTTTTTACTTAACTACCTTAGTTTTGCTAAAAATCTGATTATTTTAAGCGTACACAGCAGCCATTATGGATCCGCCATTTTGAATTTCGAAATTATGTGGTGAAATTTAAAACCAGCAACCAAAATAAAGACCAATACACAAGGTTTGATTACAACTGTACCACGCTTCGACTTTTGGCCAGCTTTATCGAAAAATTGGCCACTGTGCAATGGCATGCCTAAACACGAACGAGTAAGCTTTTTTGCGTAATTTCGTACGAAAGCAATTCTGTGTCGGGGTCGAGATAAAAGATGTAAATCGATGTGTGTTTGCAGGAAATATTAGTGTTGTACATTTAAACAGATAAATTTGCCTTTCGCACATA